AACATTCCAGTATATAGCCAAAGATAGATAAATAAAATATTATGTCATTGTTTAGGGAAGCTGGACAAACACATCCACCAGGCCGCCAAGAAGGGAATCAGTTGACGAGCATGCGTCAAAAGGGGGAATTCGTGGAGGATTGACAGTGTGATAAATGGGAAGATAAGTAAATTCAACGAATGAGGGTGGAAATGATAGACTTGGCAGATGGAAGCCGTGCAAAGACAGCTAAGCGTTAGAATTGTGTGGCAGTTTTTCACTTTTATATAATTCTAATGCTGAGTTATCTTTGTTTTATGCCTTCAGAAACTGCATCAATGGTTACCTCGGAATATGAACGAGCTAAGATTTGATAATATCCAATTTACAACTTTGAATACAAAGTTGATTTGACGATATATAAACTCGAAACGAATTAGTTGTTTTAGGGGTGCGTTCTCCTTTCTCCAAAATCGAGAAGTTGCGTTGGAAATATATTTCTGTAAACCAAGAATGTCTTATGAATATTGCCACAATAGGATAATTTCTATAGTGTCACTTTTTTGGGGACACGTGAATATTCATGTGAAATTTATTCACAAATCGTTTCGCAGCCAATACGCGCGTAAAAATCTTACAACTTGTCAACAAGATGTGTTCGCAACAGGCTTGTAGCAAGCTTGCCAACAAGTTGTATAACAATGCTGTTATTTCATCAAGTTGCTACAAGGTTGTCACTGAGAACTTGTTGACAAATTGATGAGTTGCAGGACGATAACAAGTTGTTTGAACAACTTGTAACAAGTCTGTTGAGCTCAACAACCTTGTAGCAAGTTGTCAACGTCTCTGTAGCAAGTTGTCAACAAGCCGGTGACAACTTGTCAACAAGCTGAGAACAAGCAGTGCGAACACATCCAGTTGACAAGTTGTTGGAACAACTTGTGCGTTTTTACTTGTGTATTTTACGCGAAGAATTTCGTGGATCTTGCGAGCCTCGAGGGCGCGTGCATACGCTGTGTCGGCTTTTACAGCGCCCTGGCTTTCACGAGCATCGCACGCGCGCGCGCAATTACGGCTACTCATTGACGTCACAATTAGAACCAATCATTTAGCAAAATGTCGAAGTCAAAAACGCGCACGAGATGTAAATCAAAACCCAACACCAAAACCTAACCCATTCCTTCGCCAAACTTACCATGAAATTTCGTTGTCCGTGCTGTAAGATGCAAATCGTACCATCGGATGAAAATTTTGACCAAGGCGCACAGACCAGCTCGGCTTCTGTTGAAGAGAACGACCAATTTATCTCAATTGCGATCGGCGCTATGGACACAAACGGACCATCACCACACGAGGTGCCCGCGGATCTTCCAGAAATTGTAGTGGATAATACGATTGAAACCGAATCATTGCAGGATGCAACTGTCTCTGAGATCTCAGGTTTGTATAAGCGAACTTTTTAGAGAATACAATAACATTGACCCACATAAAACAACCAGGAACTGGTTCTGGGAAAGGTGGATAGTGATTTTTTCAAGCTGTCTAAGATTGACCGTTGAATATCATGACCAAAATTAAAGTTTAGTATAATAATAATTTTGAAAGTTTTTCCTATTTATCGTGAGGTGCATATCTGTAGTTTCACAAGTTTTTTGGCATTTCTGCAACATAATTTTTTTTGTGTTGGTGTTGTGTACTCAGGTGAATATGATGCTTGTGATGTTACTCTGAGTGTATATCCTCCACACCGGGCAAGCTTGAAAAATATGCCTCAAGCTTGCCCGGTGTCGATATACACTCAGAGTAACATCACAAGCATCATTTCTGCAACAGTTGAAAGTATCACTATCTGGTGGGGAGCGCTATGGCCTAAGTGGATTAGAGCCCATTTTCCACTAGGCGAATTTGTTCGCGTGAAGCGAAAAACAAATCTTGGCAATGCGATTGGTCAGCGAAAAAAATCGCCGCAAAGAAGTTAGATCAGTTCCTACTTTTTTCCTGTTCGCGCGAACAAATTCGCGTGGTGGAAAATGGGCTGAAGAACACAATGCATTATCATGAAAAATAGCAGTCCCCCTGCACACCCTCTGGCCAGGACTAGGGGAGTGTACACCCCCCCCCCCCAGTAAACCCATCCCTGTATAACACATTGCGTTACACCTTGTTTTAGATTCCTAACTCAACACTAACTGGTATATATTTGTCTTTCAATTCAGTTGCCAATAATGGAATCTTGCCTGCGTCGCTACAATTGTTGATTTTGTCCTGGATTCAGCCGATGGAAAATAAAGCGAATACGAAATTGTTTGGGAGCGCTAAAGCTGTGAAAAATGAACAGACTAGACATAAGGAAGCTGGGTGGATTATTCATCCGTGTAGTGCATTTAGGTGGGTAGATGATTGATTGATTGTAAAGTTTCGTTCGTTTCATAAATAAAGTTAGTTTAGTTCAGGTTTCTTCCCGTAGTGACACTGGATCAATAAGAGATGACTCTTACTGGACCTTTAGGAAGAACAGTTTAGAACTGATAGAGCTATCCAGTATAAATAGAGTTAGTTTAGTTTATGTTTCCTCCTGTAGTAACACTGGATCAATAAGAGATAATGACTCTTACTGGATCTCCTATGAAGAACAGTTCAGAACTGATAGAGCTATCCAGTACATGAATAAAGTTAGTTTTGTTTAGGTTTCCTCCTGTAGTAACGCATGATCAATAAGAGATGACTCTTACTGGATCTCTATGAGGAAAAAGTTTAGAACTGATAGAGCTAACCAATATATAAATAAAGTTATTTTAGTTTAGGTTTCCTTCTGTGGTAACGCAGGATCAATAAGAGATGACTCTTACTGGATCTCTATGAGGAAAACGTTTAGAACTGTCACAGCTATCCGATATTAAATTAATAAAGTTAGTTTAGTTTAGCCTGTAGGCTTTGTCCTGTGGTAACACCGACACAATGATGGATTATCTCTACTGGACGTCGATACCTATCCTGTAGTATGTACCTGTAGTAAAGCTAATCAACAAAGGGGCGCCATACTGGACCTCTAGGAACAACAGTTTAGAACTGATAGAGCTATCTCCTTATTGATACCACAAAAGTTATATTCGAATAAAATGCTCTTTGTTTCAGATTATACTGGAATATGTTTATGATGTTATTATTGGTTATGAATATGTATGCGTTGCCTGTAGTAATTACTTTCTTTACTGATGCGTTACCATTGTCGTGGACCGTCTTCAATATTCTGTCAGATATATTCTTCCTAACCGACCTACTTCTTAACTTTCGAACTGGGATTATGGTAAATGACATGAGCTACAGATTTATATTGGAACCACGGAAAATTGCTATGAAGTAAGTCTCGTATTTTACTGCCAACACGTGTTAGTAAAATCAAGTGGAATAAAATTTTCCATATGAAAGCTTTATCCCATTAATTTAACTTTATTTGCTTTTCTGAAATTTCACTTAAATTTATTTTCAGGTATATTCGAACGTGGTTTCCGATCGATCTTATATCTTCTCTACCGCTGGATTACATTATCGCAGCCGTGACCTCTCATCAAGATTCTCAGCTGGTTGGTGCATCGCGGGCTCTAAGAGTTTTGCGACTTGCCAAACTTCTGAGCCTGCTGCGTTTGCTGCGAGTTTCCAGGCTTGTGCGTTATGTAAGCCAATATGAAGTGGTAAGTTCGAGACTTAGTGTCGATTTGAGTGACCAAA